AGGCAGATCCACTAAAATATACTGCTGAGGGGAGCAGCAGGTGAAACAGGAGAGGTCTGCCATGCCATGTGGGTCACCTCCCTGACCAGGGATTGAACTTGTGCTGCAGGGGTTGGGGCTAGCTTCATAGTGGTTCACTGTTAACCCCTTGCACCACGAGGGAGGGCCCTGCAGTAACCACTTTGAGTAAGCCATCTGTGTGCTGCTGAGCTCCAGGCCCATTTCAGCATCCACAAAAGGAGGGTAGAGATTTGAATTTGCTGCAGAAAGGAGGTCTGACATACAAAATGGGATTATATAGAAGGATAATAGGTTTAAAGGCAGGCTATTTAAATTATTGCTTCACATTGTTTCTTAGTATGATCTACTATTCCTTAGTTACAGCTAGGGTTAATTTCCCCTACTAAGTAAGAAGAAAGTCTAGATCAGCTAGAGAAAAAGCAATCACAGTTTATCTGCACATTCTCAGTCCAAGGGTGACATAAGGCTGGAACTACCACAGGGATGTAATACAAGGGCAGGATGGAATATTAATGATGATTACAGCAAGTTTTAATGAGCAATAAGTGCTTTTAATGTACTGCCAAGTGAAAAGAGAAGCAAAAAACTTAGAGTCATTATGATCTTGGCTGTGTTAAATACACATATATACATAGGGAAAAAAAATACTTCTGAGACGAATTCACCAAAATATCCAAAGAAGTTGCCTTTAGGTGAGGGGACTCTGGATGGTATTTATTTTTGTCTTTATATTTTTCTCTATTTTCCAACTTTTTACAGAGGATTGCTTTTGAAGCCACAATTTTTTTTATAACAAAATAGTTTATTTTACATCATCATTTTGTGCCTTTTTCCATCTTAGTTGTAATCCTCGTGGTGAAGCCACAATTTTTTAAGAGAACATATACTTGGTGCTCTGCTTATGTTATCACAAACAGGCAGACCCTGACAAGTCCCAGCCAAGGAATTTGCCTCTAGATGTGCCCTGGCCGGCCTGGTTCCCCTGGCTCCTGTCTGGGACCAAAGCAAACAACTCTTCCAGTTAACTCTTTCTGCAGGAAAGACCAGGAAGGAGTGAGACAGGGATGCTTCTGAGGAGGGCTCCCCCTGGGAGCGGGGGTTGCCACAGAGGATACAGCTAAACTATCCTGAGACCACCCGTTCCTCTTTTGCAGCACTTCAGCCTGCCTGCTCCACCCCTCAGTCCCAGCTGTCACTAAACCAAAAGCCCTGAAAAGGAGCAATGAGAAGCACAGCGTTCACTGTTCTCTTAATATTCCTTCAGCTGTCTTCATTCAGAAGTCATGACACTCACTTGCTTACAAGATGATTTTTAGGAAAGATGAAAGGACCCTTAAGTGAGAGTCTGCGACAGAGTGCATCTGAGTGTGTTATGGGCTTCTAGTCTCCTTTCTTGTGATAAAGGTCAAAATTCCCTGTTCACAGTATATACAGGGAGGGATTTATGACCATTGAGTTCCCTTTGTCTTTTTTCCCCCCTTAAAGATTTATTTATTTATGCATACAGAACTAGAGTAGGAGGTATGGGGGTGGGGCAGGAGAGAATTCACCAGAGACAGAGTAGGGAGCAGAACAGGCAGATCATTGAAGTATACTGCTGAGGGGAGCAGCAGGCAGGTCAGGAGAGGTCTGACATGCCATGTGGTCACCTCCCTGGCCAGGGATCCAACTGGTGCTGCTGTGGTTGCAGTAGTTTCATAGTGTTGCGCTTTAATGCATTGCACCACCAGGGAGGGCTGGGTTCTCTGTCTTTAAGAAGCAAAAGGAGGGGCCCTCCCTGGTGGCACAGCGGGTTGAAGCACAGCATTAAGAAGCTAAAGCCACTTCAGCATGAGTTTGATCCCTGCCTGTCCCGGAGGTGATCCCACATGGCAAGGCAGACCTCTCCTGACCCGCCCGCTGCTCCCCTCAGCAGTGTACTTCATCCAT